TGTTGTCCAACCCTAGCCATTATAGGTTGTTGTTCATACCATCGAATTGGGTCTAAGTCATAGCCACCTTGTTTAGGGTTTCCAAGGAGTGGCTGGTGGGTTTGTACCATCAAGTTTGTGGTTAGCAGGCCAGTGCTTATCCTACAGCGCCACACCAGGAGTCCACCATTACAGGTAGTTCCTGGCTTATGTCAGGGGTTTATTTTGAGGACTCTGACATAAATCAGTTCTTACATGAATCAAACACTTATATTTAAAAAAAATTTTTTCATTTTCATTATTATTGTGTTTTATTGTCAGTATTTTTATTTGTCCGTGAGTGAACACCTGAGATTGATAACATTAGCACATTATGTGTTGCAACATTGTGCATATTCCTGATGATGACATGGAGTTGTACAAAAGCAAAAGTGCAGTTCTTCGTAACTCAGCTGTGTCGTAAGTCGGACGCTGCCTTTACTCGTTTCTGTATTTTCCCATTACCCTTAACAGAAGCTCAGTGTTGTCCACCTGCCCTTGGTAACCACTAATAAACTTTGGTCTCTATATATTTGTCCATGTTAGATATTTAAGGGGCATCATACAGTATTTGCCCCTTTGTGACTGGCATATTTTACTCATCATAATGTTTTCAAGGCATATCCAGGCTGTCACATGTATCAGTACTTCATTTTTCTACATGGCTAAATAATATTCCATAGTATGTATGTAGTACATTGTATGTGTCCATTCATCTGTCATTGAACATTGAGGCGGTTTCTACCTTTTGGCTATTTGAAGAATATGCCTGTGAACACTGATGTACGTGTATCTGTTTGAATTCCAGCTTGGAGTTCTGTGGGCTATATACCTAGGAGTAAATTTACAGGGTCAAATGGTAATTCTGAGTTTAACTTTTTGAGGAAGCACCAGATTGATTTCCACAGTGGTTGCTTGTACCACTTTACAATCCTTCCAGCAATGGATGAGGGTTCCAGTTCCTCTGTGTCCTTGCCAACACCTGTTATCTGTTTGTTTGCTTTTTAAACCACAACCATTTTAGGGGGTGTGAAGTGATATATCATTATGGATTTGACTTGTTTCTCCCTAAGATGGTATCCTTATGTGGCACTGTAGGATAAGTACTGGACTGCAAAGTTGGTTTGAATCGCAAAGTCATCAGTTTGAACCCACCAGCCACTCCTCAGAAACCTTGTACAGGGTTGCTATGAGTCGAAACTGACTCAGCAGCACTTAACAAGAAAAATAGCTAATGACAAGTTTCAATGGTGCAGCAGTTAAGGTTAAGCACTCAGCTGTTAACTGGAAGGACAGTGATTTAAACCCAGCAGTGGCTTCATGAGGAAAAGATATTGCATTCTGTTCCCATAAAGATTTGCAGCTTTGGAAACCCTAGGGAACACTTCTCCTCTAGCCTATAGGGCCACGAGGAGTCAGAATCAACTCAGCATCAATGAATAATTTAATAGCTAACGTTGTTGTTGATAGGTGCCATCGAGTCGGTACTGACTCATCGCAATCTTATGCACAGCAGAACGAAACACTGCCCGATCCTGGGCCAACTTCACTACTGTTTCCACGCTTGAGTCCATCGATGCTGCCACTTGGCCAATCCATCTCTGGGGGGGGGTCTCCATTTTTTTCTCTGACCCTCCACCTTACCAAACAGTGACTTAACTTCTCCAGTGACTGATCCCTCCTAACAATATGTCCAAAGTATGAGAGACGAAGTTTGGCCGTCATGGCCTCCAAGGAGCACTCTGGCTGCACTTCTTCCAACACAATGGAGGGAGTCCTAGTGGTGCACTATTTAAATGCTCAGCTGCTAAGAAAGGGCAGCAGATTGACCCCATAAGTTGCTCTGTGGGCGACAAGACCTGGCGACCTGCTCCCTTGAAGATTATAGGTGGAAACTCTGGAGCAGGTCTACTCTGTGCTGCAGGGCTGCTGTGAATTGAAATCGACACCATGGCTCACAACAGCAATCATAGTAACTAATGACGCTGAGCATCATTTCGTGTGCTTGTTGTATTGCTTTGGTGAAATGTCTGTTCAAATTCAGAGCATCCGTTTTAAAAATGATTATTTAGTATTCTGTTATTAAACATGTTAGGAGGCTTCAAAAAGTATGTAGGGAAATTCCATTGTCCTTGAATTCTATTTTCCACATACTTTTTTGTTTTGTTTTTATTATGAACTGAGTAATAGTTTACATGAGAGAACATCAACTTTACACCATCGTTTCATTGCAGTGATTACACTCTCCTCCATGCATCATCATTCAACTGTATTTGCTTCCATTCCCTCTGTTTCTTTTTTTTCTGAGGTGGCATACACAAACACACTCAGGTATATATAATAATTTAAACAACCAAAGGGCACATTCTGCAAGCCTGCCTCCTGGCTGCCAGCACTCAGTCCCTCTCTTTTCGTGAGTCTAGAGTCCTCAGCTGCTCCATGTCTTCATCTCTGCCTCCATCTCTAGTGTCTCTGCTTATCTGGATTGGGTCGTACATTCCACTTGTGCTCTTCTCCCTTCATGGTCCTAGGGTCCTCTGTTTTTGGACTGTAAGATTAACTACTCTCCCGTTTTTGTTACAGAACTTCTACGTTTACAGTTGTGACAGTCGCAATTAGTCATGATAACAGTTACTCACTTTTGAATCAGAAGAGTCTTATCCCCATTTCTCTTCACCAGACCCTTCTAGACAAGATGAAAACTATTCAGTGGGGACTCTATCCTCCCCCACACACTCTTAAACTAAACTCCCTCTTGAAAACTTGTAAGCCAGCCACTTCGTGCCTTTTTCACCCCCTAATTTTAGGTAGCCAATGTCTAAGTTGCCTGTCCCTTTCTACCCTGTATACAGAACTAGCATTGATACTTGATGTGAAGACTCCTTCCCTCTCAGTTAGTATTTTGAGCTACTACATCCATAAGTAAGGAGCTCTGGTAACGTAGTGGTTACGAATCGGGCTGCGAACCTTAAGGTCAGCGGTTCAAAACTACCAGCCGCTCCGCGGGAGAAAGATGAGGCTTTCTACTCCCATAAGGATTTACACCCTCGGAAACCCTGTACAGGGTCGCTATGGGTCGGAACTGACTCGACAGCACTTAACAACAACAACAACAACATCCATAAGTAAGGAGCTCTGGTAGTGTAGTGGTTACTAATTGAGCTGCAAACCTCAAGGTCAGCAGTTTGAAACTACCAGCTGTTCCGTGGGAGAAAGATGAGGCTTTCTGCTCCCGTAAAGATTTACAGCCTCGGAAACCCTATACAGGGTTGCTATGAGTTGGAACTGACTCCTGGCACATAACCACCAACCACCACATCCATAAGTGGAGTCCTGGTGTGGTGCTGTGGGCTAATGCATCAGACTGCAACATCGTTTGAACTGCAACATCAGTGGTTCAAGCTCATCAGCTGCTCCTTGGAAACCCTCTACAGGGTCACTATGGGTCAGAATCGACTCGACGGCACTTAACAACAACAACATCCATAAGTATTGGTCAAGTTAATCGAATTGTAGCAATTTACACTCGTTTCCTTTATCAAAAATTGTTTTTTATCTTCCTCTAGTTGAGTTCTGATTATCAAGCCATTGAGGCTAAGTCAAATGGTTCCTATCTGCAAGTTTGGGTGTTCTTATGTGTCTCCCCTCAATGCACATCAGCTGGATACTTCACTCTCAGCTCTGGCCCTCCATGGTTATGTCCTTGTCCATGGGCTCAGGAGTCCTCCAGGTCTCACCACACTTTGGACCAACCAGCTCTTCCTCTTCTCGCTCTCATCTCCAGGTCAACGGAAGTCCATGGAATGTGGTTGAACTCAGCCCATTTTTCTGTTGCTGCCTTTCCCCCTCTTCCACTCACCAGTAGACCAACGTGGTTGCCAGCAAGCTTACATGCCTGCTCATGTGTTCCCTTTGAGTTTCAGTCTTGGAGGGGAGGGGGGTTTGTCCTGAAGGGACTTGATTGCTTGCCTTGATGGCTTCCTTCACAGACTTTTTGAAGCACCCTTGTATTGTTTGCTATACTTTTTATTCATAACAGTGCTCACTCCCATTACTGGGATACTTTGTCTATCCCAGGCACTGTACCAAGCACTTCACATTCATTCTCACTGACTCCTAAGGCAGAGCCGTGGGGGTTTATGCTCTTCTAATTTTGTTGGTGGGAAATGGTTCCCAGAGAGGATGAGTCGGTCCCTGCTCAGAAGTCACTTGTCTGTGGGAGCAAGCCCGCAGCTGTGCCTCACTCATCTCCTTCATTCTCCTCCATCCATGTGAGCTTGATTCACATTGTGCCACCTACCCCTTACTTGGGGAAATTTATAACCTGGAACTCCTGTGGTTGGTGAAGAAAGGGAGGTGAGAGGAAGAGGGAACTTAGGTAGGCGACTCCCCAAACTCAGAAGTCCGATTCGAGCTGCAGAGAGTGTTCCTCCGAATGAGTAGAGCAGCCTAGTTGAGAGGCCTCCAGACCTGCTGGCCTCCCTTTCCCCCACCATCCCTGTCTCCTTTGGATAAGAAGGAGTGGAAAGTAATCGGCAGCATCCCAGAGAACTCCCAGGTCATCCTTCTTTGCTCTCGTTTCTTCTGAGGCTCTTTTGTCACCATGACAAGTGCTGCCTTGCACCAGCTGCTTCCCTTTGCCTCCTAGAGGGCAGTAGGAGCTCCTCCTCTTGTCCCCTTGCCACCTGACAACTTGTAACTGACAGCAGTTTGGCAGTGAGGCTGGATAACTGGTCCAGAACTGTCCAATCCAGAGAGTTCTATTATAGTGTAAGGCCATTTCTGAGAGACTCTGCATTCCTGTGTGTGCTCATGGAGTTTGGCATTTCAGCTTAGTTTTGCTTGGTAGTAGTGCAGAAGTTCTCCTGCCCTGCTTGGAAATTCAACGAGCCCCGTCTGTGTGTGTTTTTCTGGGAATAAAATACAAGGGGTGTAGCTGAGCCTGCTGTCCTCTACAGGTGACTGTTCCTTTTATGTTGCAGGTTCAACTTGCCTCTAACCCTGTGCTGGATGCCTGGTATGGTGCTCGTGACTGGGCCTTGGACCACCTAGACAATGAAGAAGTCTGGGTCACCAGGAAGGAATATGAGGAAAAGGGTGGGGAGTACCTTAAGGAGCACCGTGCTTCCAACATCTACGTTCCCATCCGCCTCCCCAAACAGGCTTCACGGTTCTCGGACTCCCAGGCTTCTGGCAAGGGTGGGGGGACCAGTGGGAGCGGTGCTGGAGAGCATGCTTAGCAAAGGGTACTTCCAGAGACTGACCTGCACACGATGTCCTTGGGCCACGTCGGCTCATGTGATACAAAGTGACAGTGCTAGAGTCTGCTGTGAACTGGATTTCTCCTGGGGAGAATGGAGTTAGGCACAATGGGAGTTACCCATTACAGTTGTGTTCACTTGGAGACTTGGGCCATGAAGAAACTTGTGGCATCCTTCCCGGCAATGCCCTGCAGCAGTAAACAGGACAGAGGGAGGAAGACAGGGATGGACAGAATGCACAAACCTATTATTGTTGTTTTTTTGCTTTTTCTTGTAAAGATTTATTTTGTCAGTGTAGATATTTTATTCTAAATTTATTCTGGAGTCCTGCTGTTGATCTGTTAACTGCAAGGTTGGTGATTCAAACGCAGTTTCCCAATCCTTGGAAACCCTAAACAGGTTGGCTATGAGTGGAAACCCACTCGGGACACTTAACAATAGTGCTGAGGAATGGTTTGAATGTCCAGCAGGGGGAGATCTTCATCTGTATAAAAATGTAATATGGATGTAATAAAAGCAGTCGTTGCTGGGCTCTCAGAAGCTGGAAATAGTTATCTCCTCTTATTGTTTTCCTTACAAATAGAAATAAAAGGCCCCAAGAGGGTAACCACGTGGATATTAGGGACCATGTGGGGCTCACATCTGAATGGATCCTCATACTGTCTTTGCTGGAAACTTTGCCACTGGATAAGACCTCCTTGCAAATATTTTTGTCCCTTTGAATTTGTTGGCTGCTTAATTTTTTAAGGCCTTTTTTGAAGAAAGAGACTCACAAAAAGTTAATTCATGCATCCTCTTCAGTTTTCCTATAATCTCACATTCCCTGTAACCTCACAGCTTCATCTCATATAGACAGTAACTCCTCTCTTACAGAGATTGCTCGGTGAGACTCTTAACTCTCCTACACAACACACCCAATAACTGAATCCAGAAGGCCCCCCATTGGCCAACTTGATCCCACAGAGTCCACTCATAGGAATCCCACAGAGCCTCCAGCCCACCCTGGATGAGGCCACCACAGAACCTCTTTACTCAGTTTACCAAGGGTGAATCCCACAGAGCCTCCAGCCC